TCCATATTTTTCTTCTCTTTTTTTTCCTTCATGGCAAGCCTGTAGGGAGGGGGTGCTTACAACACCCCAGGGTTGGCCCACTTAACTTTGTAGTTAAGAAATTGCTACTGTTCCTATTAAAGCCCTTCCATGTAAAGTGGGGCTCTGCTAGGGAGACCCAACAGCAGATCGTTTGTAGCTAATCACTGACTACCCCCCCACCCCCACCATAACTCTGACTTAAGAAACATGCTTTCCTTCGGGATGATTCACATTTTATTGAACATCTGCTTTCCCTACCAGGCTCATTTTAGTGAACACACATATTTATACCTTACTTAGCTGGGTGTAATTCTCTGCTACTATCCGCATATCCTGTAGTGTACAACAATACATGAGAATTCAACTGAAAGCCTAAGGTCCCCAGGAAAAATAGGCAGCACTTCCAGCCAGCAGAAGCGGGGCTAAGCTTGCATGTGCCGTGTGACTGAGCGCTATGAGGCCCGCTCCGGCATGTTGCAATGGGGACATACATGACCAAGTGACAAGAGGCAGAAGGGTCACCTCCTTTAGGTCATAAACACCTTTACAACGATAGCCACTATCAGCTGTCCTCAAGGGGCAAAACATTATCTTTAAAAAAAAAAAAAAAAGAAATCCAAATTGAGACTAATTTTCAGGGCCAGCTAATGCACTGGCAAGAGTAGGTTCAGACTCCACCGTAACCACACACTGGAAAAAACGTCCTGGTACAACTGTGAAGGCCCCCAGCGCATGCGGCCCAAATCCGGAACCCTCCCCCTGCACGCTCAGCGAAGCGGACATTCTGCAGGGAAAGGGGTTTTGTCCACGTCAGTCCCTGATACCAGTCTTTCTTTCTTCCCATCCATATTCTAAGGGAGTTTACCAGAAATGTAAAAGATTATGCAATTCAGGAAATAAAGACCAGATGCTCTTACTCGCAGGCATTTTTATTAGGATGCTTTCGAGAAGGGATGAAGCGCTTCATCGGGCTAAAGAAAACTGGGTTGCCTTCAAGCGCAAAACCTCCCAGCCCTGACTCAGCTGCCGACGGACGATGCCACCCGGGAGGGTTCTCCTGACTCGGCCCAGAAATCCACCCCGCTGCTGGGAGAGGGGTGTCGGTAAGTCACACAGAGGCTCACAGCAAACCGTGACTAACACACATAAACGTGACCTTTTATCACAGTCCGTGAACTTAGCAGTAAGCACATTTTTCCCGTGTGTGTTGGAGCATCACAAACCCTCAGTCCTGCTCCCTCTCGCAGGTGTCAGGCCCCGCACTGAACTCATCTCCGACCCCTTCCCTACCATCCCAGGTGGCAGCTTGTGGGCTCCGAGTCCCCTCTCTCATCTGAGTAAATCTGAGACCTAAACCTGGTCCTTGGCCACTCACTTGATCAGCGCCACCTACCACCTCTGCTCACAGAAATGCCTGCCAACCTCTACCACCCATAACCACCGGCAACAGCATTCACCCTCTCACCTGAACCACTCAACTTGTTGTGCCTGTTTCCACCGCAGTGCATTTTCCGTGGGACAGAAGGCACGTCTCCTCATTTCCTGCCATAAATCATCCAGTGGCTTCTCAATGCCCTTAGAAGCAAAGCCAAACTCTGTAGAACTGCCTGCGCATTCCCACGCGGCCCGGCACCTGCCTGCCTCCTTGGCCTCGTCCCCTCTCGCACTCCCTCTCCTTCCCTCTCCCCCGCCCCCTGCCGGATGGTCTCTGCCCACCCGGACCAAAGCCCACGGGCTCCCTGCACACTACGGCCCAGTCGCTCTCTGTCACTTTACTGCTTTATTTTCTCCTGGCACTTGCCACTGTCTGCAGTTCTGACTTATCCATTTGTTTACTGTGTTTCTTCTGTCTCCCCCTCTAGAATGAACACCTTGACAACGGGACCTTAGCTGTCCTGTTCATTTCCATTTGCTCAGCACCTAACATGGTGCTAGGCATTTTGTTTACCGAATCAACAAATGAAAAAAATGAATGAACCCAATCTATAAGTATATAATATTTAATTTCACAAAAATACTGAGTTTTATTAATAAGCGAGAGGTATTGCCATGGGTCACTAACTATGTGACTTTAAATCATTATTTAATATCGTTACTCTCAGTTTCACTGTCTAGGAAGCAGATTCAAGAATGTTCCATATTTTATAAGGGTGTAAGAAATAAGAGAAAATACGCGCATAAAATACTTAGCATGGTGCCTGGCACATGGTATACATTCAGTAAGTGCTGGCTATTAGTGGAGGAAAAGATTAGGATATTCCAATTATCTTAAAAAGAAGAATATTAGTTTTCTGGTAGAAAATGATGTGCCACCCAGAAAGTGGTCCCCGGAAAAGCAAAAGATGTGATGAGAAATCCCTGATAGGACCCTCTGCTCGCTTCCCACCGACCATGATACCCTCCACGGCAGAAATCACGCCCTCCTCATCACCCCCGTGGGGCACCCACATAGCTTCCCAACCCCTGCCCCTCCCTTCAGATGGTCTCCATTCTATGGAATAGTATTTTGCTTAAGAAAATAGGCTCTAAAACAACTCCTCTTATGGTCTCAAGGCTTCAATATGCTGGTCCCACCCTTCCCACCATCTTATGTGCAGCTAGTCTTGAGGGTCATCTCCCCGCTGGTCAGAGCTACACCCCCAGAGGGCAAGGGAAGATGCGCCGTGGCTGCGAGCGTGGAATCTGGAGCCAGACTTCTGCGTTTCAAACTCCAGCCCCATCACTTACTCACTAGTACTTGGCCTCCCCGTGCCTCAGGTCCCTCATCTGTAAAAGGGCCAGGACAGTAACACCGCATCCATCGTAAGCCTGGGGTGAGAGATGTATAACACATATAAAGCACTCAGCACGAGACCTACTATTTAGTAAGTGATGATGATAACGGCGATGATGATGGGTCTCCATTGAAAAACTGTAATTTTTTGAAAATACAAATCCAATCATGTCACAGATGTGTTCAAAAACCTTTCACTTAATGCCTGTTGCCAATAGGATGTATCTCAAAACCCTGAGTGTGCAATACTAAACACAGCAGAAGTTCTCCCTACCGCGGCACTCCTCCGCCTTTCCAATGTCATCTCTCCTTGTTCTCCTCCAGCTCCTCCCTGCGGGAGACCCAGGGCCTGTGCTTTCACCAGTCAACGCTTTGGCCACCCCAGAAACATACCTCGGCACTTTGCTTCTGTTTCACTTGCTGAAATTCCCTTCCTATCTCCTTCTACCTGGAAAGCTCCTATTCAATCTTCAGCCCCCACACAAATGTCCCCTTTTCATAAAGTCCTCCCCAAAGCTTCCAGTCAGGACCCCTAGCTCTAAACTCCCACTCCGTACCTCCACTTCTTACCTAGAAAACCTGAACGTGCAACCCTGTGTGGTCATTTGCTAGTTCACTGCTCTGTGTCTTTCCTTCTCTATGACTTCCTCCAGGACAAGAATCTATTTACTTTTTATTTTATTTTATTTTATTTTATTTTATTTTATTTTATTTTTTGTGTGCTGTCTGACTTACAGTAGGTGCCCAACCAATGACTGTTTGATTGAACAAAAGATATCCATCGAAGCAATGTGAACAACAGGCTAATTTCCAGCAGAGAGATCTAAAATCATTCTACTAAGAAAATGACAAAAATGAAAGCAGTTTTCATGTTAAGCCTCTTTTGGATCCATCACCTTGTTGATTTGCATGTCCTTTGACTTCTGACTCCTCTATCCTGAGCCATTTTCTATTTATTTTTAGAGCCTGCACCATTTTATCTGAACATGGGTTCAGATAAAAGTTTATGGCTTTCAAAGTAACATATCTAAAAATTTACCAGCGGATATATTTCCTAGTTTAATTCTAAACATGTCATACTAAATTGTATGTCTTTATTTATATAAATTTTATTATTAAGGTTTTAGTGGTTTAGGAGTAATTTGGGAATCTCCCTAAGTGTATTCCATAGAACACCACTCTATAAAGCTAATCTATGAAAACCACAATACAAAAATGAATCCATGGTCAAGCAAGTTGGGAGAACAACACATGCTATTATCTCTGTAGTGAAAAGTCACAGAGAATCTTAGCATATTAAAGGTTCTGAGAGGCCCACCAGTGAAGAAGTCAGTATTTCCCAAACTTATTTACTGAGTGCCCTTTAGTGTTCCTTGCACGGTGTTCATAGAGCTCATTTTGGGAAATACTACACTGTCTAGTTTCTAAGTGGCCCAATACAACTAGTCTTTGGGTCATAAATAATCTTAATTCATAACGTGATTGGGTAGAATTTTAAAGGACATCCATCATTGTCATGCATGTAAATCTTAACTCCCATCTACAGGCCCCTGCCAAGTTACCTTTCAAAGCACATGTGAAGGGAAAGAAGAACAAATGATTTGTTACAGCTCTGTAAGAAAGTGCTTCCATACACAGAACCAGAATCTCATTCTCTATAGATTCCATCTATTTACCTAAATTCAGCTTCATGGAGCCACAAAGAATAAATCTACAAATCTCATCCCTTTTTCCATCAGAAAGCCAAAATTATCACCTACAATCTTTGCTGGTAGAAAAACAATCTAAAAACCTGCTCATCTCTTCATCTGAAAGGAAGACCAAAAAACACAGGGGTGATCCAAAGACAGCCAGCATGCCAGGCTGTCATTACGAACGTGGAATGATTAGAAGATAATCCCCTGGAGCCTTTGAAGACTGAAATGAAATGCTCATGCAGTGACAGCCAATGTGAAGAGCCCCAATGTGACAACAAAACAAACTAACCCCCTTTTATGAGGTGAGGCATGTGTCTTAGGTAATAAACACTTAAGTAATTAGATAGGTTTTATGGAGATAGCTATAAACTGAAACATGGGGAAAAAAGTCTTGCTCACAGGCTGACGCCCAGGGAAGGGGGTATATAAGAGCCAGGGCAGAAGAGACCAGCACTGAGACACCAAGAGTCTTCTCTTCTCAACCCCGCAAAAACCCAAGTCTTGACACCATGGCTTGCTGTGTTCCCTGCTGCTGCAGCGTCCCCACCGGCCCTGCCACCACCATCTGCTCCTCGGACAAATGCTGCCGGTGTGGAGTCTGCCTGCCCAGCACCTGCCCCCATGACATCAGCCTCCTTCAGCCCACTTGCTGTGACACCTGCCCCCCACCCTGCTGTCAGCCTGACACCTACGTGCCAACTTGCTGGCTGCTCAACTCTTGCCACCCAACTCCCGGGCTGTGTGGGATCAATGTGACGACCTACGTGCAGCCTGGCTGTGAAAGTCCCTGTGAGCCTTGCTGTTAGGAAGCCACGTCTCTGCCCAGGCTCAGTGACACGCTGCTCAATGTCCTCCACCTCGCCCGGCCTTCAACACGCGCTACTGCCCACAGCAGGCTAACTCCATCCCTGTTCTCTGGGCCCTGTATTCATGAATTAGCCCAACTTCTTAATTCTTTCCTCCTTTGGGGAGAGTTGGAGGCCTTTTTTTCTGTCTTTTAGGCTATTTCACTGCTCACTGAGAAACAATCATTTTGACTATTCATTAATAAACTTCGTTCTGGCTTAGCAAATACGGCCTTGTGGTTGTTCATTCCATGGTCCCTCTTAGGGAGAGCAGAATGCCTACCTAAACCTGAACAGCAGGTCATCTGACTCCCCCAAGTTTACCCCCCAGTGGGATGAGAGTTTTCATGGTGGAATCACTGAAAAATCAGGTGCTGGCTCTTTGTGATAAGTTAAAAAGTAAAAAATTCAATAGGTCATTTTGTAGGGTCTTCTTAAACATTTTTATTTATTCATTTTAATGAGATTGAGAGAGAAAGAGAGAGAGAACGCGCGTGCGATTGATTTGTTGTTCCAGCCATCCATGCATTCATTGGTTGCTTTTTGTATGTACCTTGACCAAAGATCAAACCTGCAACCCTGGCATATCGGGACAAATGCTCTACCCAGCTGAGCTACCTGGCAAGTGCCTTGTAGGATCTTTTTATTCAATAAATTGTTTTTTAAGACAATCACTGTGCCAACTACTATGCTAGAGTTTAGAGATTAATATGTTTTTAAAATATTTTAATTTCCATTACCCCTCAAATGGATTTTCTTTCTTCCTTAAGCAATGAAACAAGTTGATCACTGCTAGTATGTAGGAATAATTTTGACTCTTTTACTCATAGTCATCAATGAAATTCCAAGTTCAAAATACTATGCAATTTGGGGGAAATATATATATATATTTCTTTATATATGTTGTCTTCTAGGAAAATGAATTTGGAACAAACATTAGGATTTACTGAGTATTCCTTATTTTCTCAAATTAGGCTTGGCTTATGTTAGTCATAACTATATTTAGAAGTTTAACTAGTCCAAATGACATATAATAGCATGTCATTGCAATAAACTGAAAACAGACTATAGTGCAGTCTTCTCTATACACCAGAAGGAGTCACACAATGATGGGAGCAAAAACACACACTTCCTCCTACAACAAAACTTGCATGATGACTATTAATTCATTCCCTTAGTTGTCCAGGAAAAATCCACGGGCCGTAGGTTTTTGCAAAAAGTACCCAGAATGCAGTCTAGTTGTGTGTTTTCTTGGAACTGTGTTGGGACTTTGGGCCATTTGCTTCCCTCTCAGACTCCATTTCCTCATTATACTCTCTTCTGTGCTTATGTCTCAGGATTATTGCAAGGATCAAATGACTCGAAGCGTCCACAAGAGCACTCCCAGACACAGGCAGACTCGGCCATTCCTGCCACACACGGGTTCCCAGCTTTCTCACAAAAGGCATTCTTTTATTTTTTGGAAAAGTATCTTTTCCCAAATGGCTTTTTAAAGTATTAACTCAGTCACTCTTTCATTTTTGTTCATAAATATACTTACAGGTGGTCAGTGAGGTTTTAAGATTAATATCACTATTGTTACTGGGCCAAGTACCTCTTTTTTAGTCAAAAGCAAAGCAGTTTGATTTTTTACACACCTCTGTAAGGGATAAGTGTTTCAACTTTATTTTTAATACCACCACTGTGGGCCTTCAGGCTTTCAGGGGCCCTTGGCTAGTTCAGAAGCCCCACCTGGGTACCAGGAGACCGGTGTCCTCGTCCTGGTTCTGTCTCGGGCTCCCTCTGTGACTCTGAGCAAATCACTTGATCTCTTTGGGTCTCAGGCCTTAAATCAGTAAAATGACTTGGTTGACCAGATCCCCGCTAAAGTCACTTTAGTCTTCACATTGCATGGTCCTAAATTATCCAGAAGCACTTGAAGTAACAGGTGCCCCGTGTCACTAACCAATCCCATCCCACCTTCTTACTTTTACTGCTTTCATTCGTAAGAGTGAACATTTGGTCAATCTACTGGGCACTCAAGTAGGTGCTTTATATGCATTATCTCACTTATTTCTAACAAAAACACTAAGAGGTACCTATTATTATTCTCCCCACTTTATAGGTGAGGAAACTGAGGCTGAGAAAGTTAGTAGCCAAAGTTACGTAAACAATAAGTGACAGAGGAGGGATTAAACCTAAAACTGCCTGAATCCAAAATCCCTTCTCTTTCCACTTCACCAAAGTATTTGCCTCCTCTGCAGAGAAAAATATGGTTATGTATGGCTCTATTTACCCACAAGAAAGTATATGCCACTTGGCAATACATTCTCTACCAACCCTCTGAATTGTATGTTTGGTTGTACGTAGTCACTCCACTTTCTCTGTGGTTTAAGACAAAATCAGTGTATACATCGAATTTAGAAAAAAAACTATTTACCTTTCTAAGGTGAAAGCAAAGCATCTTTTTTTAAAGTCAGACTTTAATACAGATTAACAATGTCACAACAGGAAGAATACTGGCTGGGTCTTTAACTTTGCATCAAAATGCAGACTCTTTGGCAACTCAACACATTTTCAATTTTCTGTTAAGTTTTAATAACCTAGTTCAAGATAAAAACGAACTACTCAAAGTTAATAATTATTCATCATTGATAACAGAATAGAAAACCAAGCCATTTCATTTTTCTCTCAACTTCTTCCTGGCATCTTCCCGTGCACCCTCGCCGACTCCAGCCTAATCCAGGCCCTGATCACCACACCACCGATTACAACCGCCGTTCCCCAGTTGTCCTTTTTTCCCTACAACTTTTTAATTTTTTAAATTTTTTATTGTATTTTCCCCTTACTTCAGTCCCCTTATCACCCTCACCGCCCACAACCACCACACTGCTGTCCATGGTTATGAGCCCTTCTTCCTTTTGGCTCAACCCCTCCCCGCCTCCCCTCCTCATCCCCGCAGCTGCCACGCTGCTCTGCGTCTGTGAGTCTGCCCCCATTCTGCTTGCTAGTTCAGTTTGTTCATTAGATTCCACATTTGAGTAAAATCCTATGGTATTTGTCTCTCTCCGAATGGCCTATTTCACTTAGTGTAATGTTCTCCCCGCCATTCCCAGCTGTTGCAAAGGGTAAAATTCTCTTCTTTTTCACAGCCGAGTAGTATTCCATTACTTAAATGTCCGATAGTTGTTTTATCCACTCATCTACTGATAGACCCTTGGGCTGCTTCCATATCTTGGTGATTGTAAATAGTGTTCCAATGAGCACAAGGATGGCTTATGTTCTTTCAAATTACTGTTTTGGGTTCCTTCAGATAGATGAGGTTTGTCCAGAAAGTATCCAGCTACACACTGACGCCTCAGTCCCCTTCAAAATAGACACCCTGGGACCTCACACAGTTCCCCCAAAGGCCATCAGCTGCCCCATCGTATTTTTCTGAATCTCATCAACAGTCTGAAACCTCTTCCTTTTCAAAGGTGATTTTAGTTTTGGGAAAAGCAAGAAGTCACAGGCACCAAATCTGGGCTGTTATAGGAGTTGAGTCACCTGGGTGATTTGATGTTTTGCCAAAAAACTGCATGAGACATAATGCATGAGAGGGCACATGTCATGGTGAAGCTGCCAGTCACCAGTTGCCCACAGCTGTGGCCTTCTGAATCATCCGAATAGTTTCCATGGAGGAATGTTCAAGATTAACGCAAAATTTGATGCAGATTCGTTTCTCTGCTCGTTCAGTCAATTTTAATGTGATGGCCACAAGGCACACACACTTACTCAACAGCGTCTACTAGTGCACTAACTAGTACAGTGAAGTCATCATTGTTGACACATGTGCATTCCAGTCCAGTCTCCTTGGCTGCCAGGTTACATCCATATTGTGCAAACCATTCTTGTTTTATTAACAATGACTGGACTTTTTCCAGAGAGACCTCATATTCCCAGAAGTGGAATCACTGGGTCAAAAGGCAGATCCATTTTTAATTTTCTGATGTATCCTCATACGGCTTTCCACAGAGGCTGCGCCAATCTGTACCCCCATCAACAATGCAAAAGTGTTCCCCTTTCTCCACATCCTCGCCAGCACTTGTTGTTTGTTGATTTATTGATGACAGCCATTCTGACAAGTGTGAGATGGTATCTCACTGTGGATTTAATTTGCATTTATTTCCCTGATGATTAGTGACATCGAGCATCTTTTCATATGTCTATGGGCCCTCTGCACGTCCTCTTTGGAGGAGTGTCTATTCAGGTCCCCTGCCCATTATTTAATTAGGTTGTTTGTTTTTTGGTGTTGAGTTTTCTAAGTTCTTTATAAATTTTGCATATTTGCCGATACATCTGATAAGAGTTTAGTGACACCACCTTTGGAAACTCACTGTAGTTTTATTAAAAATAATAAAAAGAGGTTTTATTTTATTCCATTCTGTCACCTTGCTTGCTTAATAGAACCTAAATTATGTCATCAATACATAAGGCAAATATGTCTGAGATGCATATAGTCACAGCTGAAATGATAGCATATCACTCTGAAATGATAGCTGAATTGTCATATGGTCTGATTATCCATAATTTACGTAAGGATTGGCATACCAGGACCCAGTAAAGACAAAATGGAATCATCTTATGACAAAAACGACAAGTCTATGAGTCAAAAACATGATTACTTTAATAAGGGCAGGAACTCTTAATGAACGAGAAAATACCAAACTGATTAGAGATTCTTAGTGGAAGAAAGTGGCATAAACAAAAAGAAGCAGCCTTCTGATTGGACCAACACCCCACCGGGGAGAGTATATAAGAGCTGCAAAGCCAGAGGAGATATTTGCACCTCAGAAACCTCATCTTTCTTTCTGAGAAACCAAAGCACCGCCAGATCCCCACCGCCATGGCTTGCTGCGTTCCCTGCTGCTGCAGCGTCCCCACCGGCCCCGCCACCACCATCTGCTCCTCGGACAAATGCTGCCGCTGCGGAGTCTGCCTGCCCAGCACCTGCCCACACACGACCTGGCTGCTGGAGCCAACCTGCTGTGACAACTGCCCCCCGCCCTGCCACATTCCTCAGCCCTGTGTGCCCACCTGCTTCCTGCTCAACTCCTGCCAGCCCACCCCAGGCCTGGAGACCATCAACCTCACAACCTTCACTCAGCCCTGCTGCGAGCCCTGCCTCCCCAGCTGCTGATCGCTGGCGGCTTCGCTCAGGGCCTGACCATGAAGAACCCACAGCTGTCAGTTTAGTATTCACTTGCCTCGGTAGTTTATCGGATGTTGAGGCAGACCAGATGGCCCAGATACGGAACACCTACCTTTCATTTTAATGGAAAATAAAAATAAATTGTTATGAATATCTTGCTGAATAATCATTTCGTTCATTTGGGAAGGTGAGTATCATTTATTATCAAAATATATTGAAATCTGTTAAGACCTCAGACAACATTTTCTTGGTCACATTGCTTCTTGGATCCCATTTCTTGTATTGGATATTTTCACAGAAGAAAAAAATTCTTAACGGGTTTTCCAATAAACTTCATTTCTTTGGCAAGACATGTTCTTTGTTTGTTAGAGTTTTTGTTATATTTCTTTCATTTTTTTAAGAAAGATAAAGATAATTTGATTATTTTACTTTTTTAAGAAAGGAATCAATTAGAGAGGAATGGCTGGAACTCACCTAACTCACATGGCTTGTGAACTTTGAACTGGTTCTCTTTTATCTTCCCCTTTTCTCTCCTCAGCATCAGACCAATACAGTGTTGGGAGTGGCCAACACTCATTCACCCACACCTTGCCAGGTGAAACACCTGTATTAACTCATGCACTCCTTAAAAGAGCACTGATAGATGAGAAAAATGAAGGCTTAAGAATTTTCAACATTCCCAAAGCCATCAAGTTGGTTACTAAGAAAACCAGAATTCAGTTCCTTGCATGTGTGACTTTAAAGTCCAATGATTTCTACTCTATCACAGAGCCTCCAATACTAATAGAACCAGAAGCTTAATGAATGCAGTTGATGATATTAACTCAAAATAGGCAGGAGAAATAAAAACTATAAGAATCTTAACAAAACCATCACATCCAAGTATAACAGAAACAGATGCATTGGCTCATAAGTTAAAAGTGATAGGTGCTCAGTTCTAAGATCGGGGCATTTAGCGGGCCTTCATTTTCCCTGCTGTGCTCAACCCTAGCAGCAGCGCACTGGGAATACATCTCGCTTCCTGCCACCATTCTTAGCACAGGTTCTACCCCATAGTCAACGGAATGCCAGTACTTTTCAGGTGATAAACTGAAAACTAGAACTAAAACCCTGATTAAACATGATTTAATCTACTACTCCATTTTACTTCATTTTATCAACCTGCTTAATTTTTCTTTTGCAGATTATCCTTTGTAAAATGGCATATTATGTATAATATTACATATTATATATACATATACACATAAAAAACACATTTATAAAGTCACAAGTCAAAATCTGAAGAAGCACTGAGCTAAAACCAAAAGAATGCATGTGAAAAAGAAAAGGGTAGGGCAAGGAGGGGGAGAAGCAAACGTGGTTAAGTAAGCATCTTTGTTTAACTGTCCTCAGTGTGACTTCTGGTCAAGATGGCAGAGTAAATAAATGGGGTACTCACATCCTCCCCCGACCACGTCAGAAGTACAGCTAAACTACAGGAAAACCATCTCTGAGAACCGCCTGAGGTCTAGCTGAACAGAAGTCTTATAACTAAAATATATAGAAGAAACCACATAGAGACTGGTAGGAGGGGCTGAGACTCAGAAGGAGCTGGTCCCACACCCACGTGAGATGACTAAAAATCAGGAGGAGTATCTCGGCTGCGGAGGTCCCACCCTGAGGAGTAAGGGCCCCAACCCCACACCTGGAGCCCTGGCCCGGGGTTCCAGTGGGAGAAGGAGGAGTCCCCATAACTTCTGGCTGCATAAACAAATGGGAATTGTGGCTGAGTGAGACAGGGCTTCTGGAGTCCCAGATCCTGCCCCGACATGGACTTACTTGCTGAGGGCTTGCTTGCTCTGAGCTCCAGCACTGGTACAGCAGCTCAAAAGGCACTGGGACAGACTGGAGGAACTGAATTGTTTGGCTTTAAGGCGCGAGCTGGAGGGGCAGCTTTCTCCAAAACAGAAGTGCTTTCAGGAGCCATTTTGCTGAGCCCTCCCCGTGCAGGAGAAGGTGAGCGCCATATTTGAGTCTCCTTGATCCTGGCGCACGCTGTCAGCACCCCCTGGTGATTCCCTGAGACTCCGCCCCACCCAAGCTGCTTCCAGTGGTGTTTCCATAGAATTGGCCTGTCCTGGCTCATAGTTCAGGCTTTCCTAAAATTCTCTAAGGTCTCCTACAGGCAGCATCTGGCCTCAGTGCGGCCTGTTCCTCTTGCTAAGCAACCCCAAGCCCAGCACCAGTAGCAGCCAGCCTCAGTTCGCAGCTCGTCTTCTTCAGAGCACCTCTAAGCCCAGCACAAGTGTCAACCGTCTGCAGATCACTTTGTAGCTCATGCCACAGGGCCCCGGGCAGGGCAGAGGCAGCAGCTGACTTTGGCCTGCTCCTCCCAGGAGACCCCAGAGCCAGTACAACCTAGCAGATAGCTTCAAACTGCACCAGAGCAGCATGAAACCACCTCCACATGCAACGCACTCAAAGGGCAGACTCAGCAGACACCAGAGCCCACAACAGCTCCTCCTCCACTGTCATCTCAGCCGTCCTGGCAGCCAATTGGCCTGGGGTCGGTCCCTCCCACTGAAATGCCAGCAGCAATCAAGGCTCAATTACAATAGAAGTATGTACACAGCCCACATGGGGGGTGCACCTGGAACACCCCACTCAGGAGACCCAGGAGGCTATGCCACTGGACCCTATAGGACGCCTACTACATAAGGCCACTCTGCCAAGACTGGGAGATATAGCAACTCTACCTACTACATAGAAACAAACATAGTAGGCAGCCAAAATGAGGAGACAAAGAAACATGTCCCAAATGAAAGGACAGGGCAAAACTCCCAAAAAAGAACTAATCAAAATGAGGACAGGCAATCTACCAGATGGAGAATATAAAACGCTGATTATAAGGATGCTCAACAAACTTAGGGGATGAATCAATCAACTCAGTAAGAACTTCAGCAAAGATAGAGGAAATGTAAAGATGGAGATAGAAAACATACGAAAGGACCGGTCAGAAATGAAGAACACAATATCTGAAATGAAGAATACACTAGAAGGCATTAATAGTAGATTAGATGAAATAGATGATCAAATTAACAATTTGGAAGATAAGGGAGCAAAAAACAGCCAATTAGAACAGAAAAAAGAAAAAAAACAACCCCCCCAAATGAGATAGTTTAAGGGGCTTCTGGGACAATAACAAGCATATCAACATTCACATCTTGGGGTGCCAGAAGAAGACAAGAAATAGAGAGCCTATTTGAAAAAGAACAACAAAACTTCCTTAACTTGGCAAAGGAAACATACTGAACCATTAAAAAAAAAAAGAACGAAATCTTGCCATTGGTGAGAACATGGGTGAACCTAGAGGGTATTGTGCTGAGTGAGCTAAGTCAGACAGAAAAAGACAATTACCAAGATCTCACTCACATGCCAATCAAAAGAACAAAATTAATGAACAAACAAAACCAAAACAGACTCACAGAGAACAATTTGACAGCTGTCCGAGGGAAGGGGGTTAGGGAGCTGGGTGAAAGAGGTAAAAGGAGTAAGAAACACAAACGGGTAGTTACAAAATAGTTACGAGGATGCAAAGTATAGCATAGGGAATATAGACAATAATATTGTAGTAACTCTGTACGGAGCCAGATGGTTACCAGATTTATTGGGTTGATTACATCATAAGTTACATAAATGTTTAATCACTCGTTGTACACCTGAAGCTGGGCATGTGCTAATACAATATTGTACGTCAACTATAACTGAAGAATAAAAAATTATTTTAAAAAGTAAAAAATAAAAATAAGTGTCCTCGGTGTGCCTGTCAGTCTCCCCAGGGAAGACTCTCAGAGGATCCCGCAGGCTGATTAGCAGCACATCTTTAAATGAACAGAACTTTGAAGCAATGACGTAGCTGGGACACAACCCAGGATTCAGCCGAGGAATTTAGTCCATTTACTCATTCATTTGGTCAATGTTTTTTGAGTGCTTTCCCTGTGTCCATGCTAAGAATTACAAAGATAAAAGACGTGATTACCTAAGGTGCCCTCAAGTTTCTCTCAAACCTCGTGAAGTTATTATAATCATGATTTACATGCTCTATATATGCTGACTGAGTATAATTATAATGCAGTGTGACTTCTGCTGTGAGCAACAAGAAGACACACACACACAAAGAGCAGCTGAAGCCCAGATCTGGTGGTTCAGTATCAGGGTCAGGAATAGTTGGGGAAAGCTCTGAGCTACCCAGGCTGAGCATTCAAAGGTGATGAGGCAGAAGGGCTGGGGAGCAATTGGTCCAGACGGAAGGGCAGCTTCCTAACTCATGGACGCCTGGGAGGCGGGGAGAAGGGGATGAAAAAGGCAGGAGAGAAGAAATGCGAAGGCTGCAGGGAGCGGGCTCCCCAGCTGAGGAGGTTTGAAGCCTTGAAGCAATGAGGGAGCTAAGTCAGGAGCCTAACAATGATACTGCACTTCCGTTTCTTCCTATTACCAATCTTCAGCTTTTGCCTTCACTCTCCCAGGTACCCCTGCTGCCTAGAATGGGATCATTGCAACTGGGCACATGCTGGGGGAGGGGGGGGTGTAGATTTTTAGCACCTTGAAAATCTACCATCTAATCAGAAATCACGGTGTTTTCCCTGTGTTTGCTAAAAGGAAAAAAGATACCCTTTGTTTCTAAAAATAAAATATGTTTAGTTACTCTGTCACATACTTTAAACTTAATGTTAAACCACATAAAAGGTAGCTCAATCCCAACAGGTCCTATATTTAGTTTTTAACACGTCAGTCACCAGGCCATCTAAGGCAAATTATCTCTCCTCTCTTAGACTCACTATCCTAATGTATAAACAAAGGAGAGTAATTCTCAGGTCTCTTGACCACTGCAGAGAAAATAAATTTTAATGAACTATGGCAAGTCTTTTACATAAAAGTGATGAGTTTATTATCATAAACTTATTTTACAACTGTTTCTAATGTGTAACCTTAAGTCAGTTCTCTACACA